CCTGTACAAGAAGTTACCCAAAAATCTTTGAATACACGACGATTAAAATTACTTGGTGAATTTGGAAGTCATATTTCTAGTTAGTATTCATAAATTCAATATTATATTATGATATCTTGATTGTTGGATTTTATTGTTAATATGTTGCTTTGATCTTTGATATAATACTTCTTAAAGAGGTTAAATCATTAGAAAGCGCCTGCAACATTATAACGAATGTATTAGGTGATGATAATCACGCCGATATTCCTTATGCATTAATCTATTTTGTCAAGCATAAATTAAATCATAATGTTTCTGAATCAATGATTGCCCGTCTGATTGCTACAACCTTTGATGTAGATAGTAAAAATGAAAGGCAATTTCCAGATTATTTTCCTGAAACTCACGAAATAATCGATTTAGCCAAAGATGTCGATAAGAGTTATAATAATTATATAGAACTAAAACGAGCCACTGCTACTTATTCATTCTTAAAATGTGATTCTTGGCCATTACATCTCGTAATAAAAAGTGGCAGTCATGTAAAAGTTATTTTAAAGGACGAAAGTCAAGCTGTGCTCTTTTTGACAAGAATACCACTTGGAGCCGAGAAGGTTTTGTCTGTTGTATTAATCTGTGGTATTAATCGGCATCGTGCGCTTGATCAGCAGTATATGGAATTCCTAAATGTATGCAAAGAATACGTATGCTTGATTTTAATTATGTTATATAACTTATAACTTATTTAAATTAAATATATTCAAATCCTTCTAGCTAATCACAAACCAATTGAATACATATTTACTACATGGGAAAGCAATAAAAGAAGAAAAGTTGCGATCTAAATTATTAGCTGATTTAAACCATCAAAAGGTCTTATTTTTTCAAGGCATTAGTCATGAACTGAAAAGTATGTTTATTTTATAAGCTATTTTCTTTTAAAAGTTGTTACGCATACTGATTAAACCATTCTTTTATTAATGCAGCACCGTTAACCTTAATGCTTTCACCAATTGATGACGTAATCAGTGCATGTTCGCAAAAAGCGCCAATAATGTCACATCTTCAAGTTGTACGACGTAACTCACGCCGATTGCTTAAACTTATTAATACTTTATTACAAGTAGGCTATATATATAAATATCTCGCGATTTTTAATAACAATTTCCAATAATACTTAGCTTCCGCAAAATTTTATATTTTATAGTTTTCAAATATTGAATCTGGTCAATCAGATGTGAAATATCGCAAAACAAATATAGCCGAGCTTACTCGTGAATTAACTTCTGATTTTGTAAATATGGCCAAAACATTAGGTTTGGATTGTATTATCGATATTCCATATTCTGAGAAATTTATTCATGCTATGAGTGATGGAATTTATTTGGACCAAGATATGTATGAAACAATTGTTTTTAATCTTTGTAAGCATTTTCTGCATTAAAAAAATGTCAAAAATTTATTTTTTATAAAGCCCTTTCATAAAAATGTAGTGTTTATTGTACTAAGATATCTTTGATTGTTAAAGGTTCGAATGCATTAAAGCATACTTGGAAGGGACGAGTAAGCATTCGTTTATATCTTGACTACAAAGACAATAAAAAGATGGTAGTTCTTGAAGTGTCAGATACAGGTTAATATATTACTCTGGATAAATTTTAAATTGCTGATATATTATATATCAGTTCAACTTTTTGGCTTTAATATTATTAATAAATACTGATTGGCAATTTTTTAATGTAGGTGTGGGTATTCCGGAAGTTGCTCTTCCAAATATATTCCAACGGTTTTATCGTGTAAAATCTCAAGGTTCACGTAGTCACGAAGGTACTGGAATAGGGCTCGCTCTTGTCAAAGAATTTATTATACTTCACGGTGGAGATATTACTGTAACTTCTGTAGTAAATAAAGGAACAACTTTTAAATGTTGGTTTCCAATTGGATGTCAACATTTACCGAAAGATCAAATACGCTTGAATAATGTTGAAAAATCAACAAATCATGATCGCGAATTGTATATTAGTCGACAACTTTATTTAGAAGAAAGTTCTCAATGGATAAGAAATAACACATCTGAATCTACAGAAGCTAAAGTCGATACAGTAGATCAATTGTCAATAGATGACTGGAAAACAGATATTGATAGTAATGACAAAATATCAATGGAAAAAAATAACCTTTAACTTTCCTGCGAATAATTCTATTAATGTCGTGAAAAAATATAAAATCCTACTTGTTGAAGATAATAATGATATGCGGTAATATTTTTCATATTTTTATTAATTATTCATAAATTGCTATTTTTGATAAGAAATTTTACTTAAAACTTATTAACATTTATAGAGATCATTTAACAGATCTACTAAAAGAATTTGACATATATCGTGCCTGTGATGGTAAAGATGCTTTAAGAGTCTTAAAAAAGCTTAAAAGTTTACCTGATTTAGTCCTTAGCGGTAAGTAATTACATAATAATGACATTTCGACTTGATGTAAATTTTTAAAATATATAATTTAATACATAGATATCATGATGCCGAATATGAATGGATATGAATTACTAGATGTATTAAGATCAAATGTAAAAACTCAATTAATTCCTGTAATATTATTATCCGCAAAAGCTTGTGAAGATTCTGAAATCAATGGTAGGTAGTTTGATCTATTAACTGTGTTAGACTAACATTGATAATAATCTTCATTTCATTATATCGGTCTTATTTTCAAATAACAATTGCTTTTAGGTCTGAATAAAGGGGCAGATGACTATTTAGTAAAACCATTTTCCGCTCGAAAATTAATTGTTCGTATTCGCACTAATATTGAACTCTCAGTTCTTCGTCGTAAAATATTATTTCATCAATGTAGACAAGAAGAAACAAAACAATTATTGATTTCAATAACAAATATGATTATTTCGGGATTAGATATGAATGAAACATTGCAATATGTTGTTAAAGAAATTCATCGTAGAATTCCAAGTGAAAAGGTATCAATTATTTCAAATGAACAATCAAAATTAATGGATAATAAAATAGTTGCTTCATATGAAGATTCAGAAAGCGTAACATTGATTGATAATCTATTTACGGAAATTAATGATAACAATAATGATAAGCTTAAATATCAAACAAATTCACATGAAATTCTAAATGATGATTCAGGAATAAATATATCTTCAGATGTATATTGTGATGATGTTCATAAAAATGTATCTATATTATCTTCAGAAGTGAGATTAAATAATAGTTTTTGGGGATGGATAAAAGTATATAGATCACCAAATTCTAGTTGGCTTAATTCTGAAATGGAGTTATTACAACAAATATCGAATCAAATAAGTTTAGCTATTAATCATGCAAACTTGTTAAAAGAGAATGAAGAAAGGGAAATACAAATAAAAGCTGCAGAATTTGCAAATAAAGTAAAAAGTCAAATATTAGCAAATATTTCTCACGGTATATCATTATTATTGTCTCATTTTATTAAAATTTTATCAATTTTATTGTGTAATTGCTAATTGATTTTAATTATAGAATTACGCACACCGTTAGGGGCAATAGTGGGCATTCTTTCTTCCCTCGAGCGTAATACCTTAACTTCTGATCAAAAGGATATGGTTAATGTCATGACACATACTTCCGATATTGTTTTATCTAGAGTAAAGAATATTCTTGATACAGTAATATTAGAACCACAAAAAATTACTCTAGTAAACAGGACATTTGATTTACTAGAATTATTCGATGACACAATTGAGACATTCGGAAAAAGGGCTGGAAGCAAAAAAATTGAACTAATCGTAAATTGCGATGCAGATGAATTGCCGAGATATGTTAAGAGTGATCCTGAAAGGTTATTAGCTAATGTACTTATATGATAAAATGTGCAAATAATAGGATTATTACTTACTTTGTCTCTTATATTTTAAATAGACTGAAACAAGTTTTGTCTCATTTATTATCGAATTCGTAATTATAATTATTTATATATAATATTTTGGTGTTTTTATTGTTTATAACTAATTACATAGCCTATATATAACCTTATAATTTATTATATAATAATTCTTTTTTAGAATTGCATTAGTTGAGAAAGGTGAAATCGTATTGACAATTTCAATGCAATCACAAAAAGACATTGACGAAAATGAATGGAATCCTACTTATGGTCCAATGGTTAGAAAGGAGAATCTATTCATTGAATTACATAATAATGGTATTGGGTAAGGTATTTTATGATTATATGTATCAAATGTTTTCAGAATGTGTGTCGGCTAATAATTTAATAAAAATAGCATGAATCACGAATATATGAAACATCCTTGGAAAAATTTTTTACAAGGTGACATATCGATAACCAAGAAGAAAGACTGTACAAGACTTGACCTCTTAATTTGTAAAAGCATAGTAGAAATTAACGGAGGAGAAATTAAAGCAGAAACTCAGCTAGGAAAAGGAAATAAATTTTGGTTTACATGGAAAGTCGAGCTATTATCAACTACACCAATTATTACAAAAATTCAAAATCTTTCGTTGTTAGAAACACAATTTAATAAACAATTAAGATATGTATTACCGCATACTCTAAGAAAAAAACGAATATTATTAATTCATCCAATTGAAAGTGTGAGAGATTCAATATTTAAATATCTCAAAAGAATCGAAAAAATTGATGCATTCGATACTTTTGACAAAGGTATTAGAGCAGCCAAAGTTTATAAAGAATTGCATGGTAAACCTGCATATGATATAATATTCATAGGTCTTTATGAAAATAACAAAGAGGAGGTCATGAAGGGATCATTGGAGTTAAGAGCACTAGATATGAATAATAATAATTTAGTAATAACTTTTATAGTATTTCCTAATAATGAAGGAAATGCGTTGGAAAAGAATTTAATTAAAAAAATTGGAGGAATTGCATCAGTTATTTATACTCCATTTACATGGAAAAAGTTGGTTAATCAGTTTATGTATATGGAAAAAGATAATGCTACTGATAAAAATAATAAGAGTATGTACGTCAATGAAAATGTTCTGATGCGAGTACCAGATTATAGGCTTAGTAAGACTGAAGATACAAATCAAGATATATATAGTGGCATGGTTTTGAAAGATTCTATGTGTAGAACAAGAAATGTTACCAAGAAGAAGTGTATGTTATGTGTTGTATACTTTATTTTCTTTTTGATTTGGCTGGAATATATGTATATTTGTTTTACTTAGTAATTCACAATTGCTAAACTTCTTGATATTTTTTATAATAGTTTTTAACATAGTATCTTATTATTTTTTGACTTCTCCACGTGAATTTCTAGTTCTTCAGGTTGAATTACATTATATTCTTACCAAATCTAATTTCTGAGACTTTGCAAAGTCAATTTCCAAGAGACACTCAATTTATTTACTTTTTTCTTCCTATTTTACTTTCTTAATTATTTCTCCTTTTCCAAGTTCCTCAAAAGATTTATCATCATATTTCTCAGATAAGTTTTGATTTATGTTTAAACAAAATCTCAAAGTTTCTCTACTTATTAAAAGTATAAATATACAGTACTTGATTAGTTAATCAGAAAGCAAACTTTGCCTAACAAACTGTGCAAAATACAGCATAATTTATTCTCCATTATAGCACGGCCACTATTGATCATGAGTATTACACCATTTATGTCATAAATCACTTTCTTTTTATTTCGTCATTCAAGCTTGTTATTTTGCACGATACATACGTCATCCATACTTATATTATATTACACTATATGAATTAAAGAAGTTTTAAAAAAAACATAAATAGTATAATTTATGATCAATGACCGCCGTATGGATAAATACAAGGAAACGATATATCCTGAACTTACTTGAAAAAAAATTGACCCTAAAGAATCTTTGCCATTTAGGCTTTATAATATTGAGGGAAGTAAAGTAGAAATTACTGAAAAAAAAGTTCATGACAGTTACGCTATTCTCTCTTATGTTTGGGGTGATCCCAAAGAGGAAGGTAATAAACTATCACCAGAACAAAAAGAAGAATTAAATAATACAACCAACGGTTTAGGATATGCAAACGGCGACAAAGACTTAACCCTTTTAGGTTACAAATCTTGAAAAAAAGCTATTGAAATTTGTAAAAAATGTGAAAACCTAAAAAACTTAGACATCAAATATCTCTGAATGGATCAATTATGCATTGATCAAAGTGGTAACAAAGTTGATGGTAAGGAGTAAGATTTTGGTTATTTAGTCTTTGCTCCCATGGTGATCAAAACTTTTGCTTGGTAATCCACGAAAGTTTTTAATTTGGTAGAGAACAAAATTAATTAAACTATAAAGCAGCCGTCAAGCTATAATACCAATATAGCATGATAATTCTGAGATACATCATACTGGTACAGCGATAATTTTTTTGATTATTCAGAAAATGCCGCTTCGCGGCATTCACTAATCTATATTATATAAATATGATATACTGAAAACTGATTAAACTTAAAAATAACCCTAATAAATCTCATTATACCGTAAAACTAGTATAATAAACATAAAACCCTGCTTTTTTCAATCTCAGATTAACGGAAATAACTTGAATAAAGATTTTATTCCTATTTATACTAATCTAAGATTAAAAATAGGATAGAGGTTGTAGTGCGAGTTTTTAAAAATATTTAGCAAAGATTAATTTTTCATAGTGAGTGTAGTTTGTATTCTTTATGTTATACAATTATATATGGATGTCTGGGTGTAGCTAATTACACTTAATACGTGGACATGGTTTAAACACAAAATTGTCAATATAACATCTACGAAAAATTGAGCAACCAGTGCCACGGTTTAAATTTTAAACCCGTGGCCTGGCTGCTATTTGGTGGTACTAAAAGCCCGAATGACCTGAAGCCACAAGAATATTGTGAGGCTCTTAGGTGGCGGATAAAGAATTAGAAACATAGATCAATCCGGCGGATTAAGGCTTAGAGATGTAGATCAATCCCGGTAATTAATTACACCTACTATCCGATAAACATTAGAAGGAAGCAATAATTGTAGTAAATATTTAGCACAATCGTTGTGTGCTTAGCTCACAAGAGTTGTGAGCAATATTTGGAGGCTATCTAACACGGGTTGTTAACATCCCGAAGATTTATTGCTAAGAAGATAAGCCTGATTAAAGATAGCGCAGTAGCCCTTAGTAAAGTAAAAGGTATTTAAGGCCTGGGCTTCCGCCCTAGTTAATCAAAAGACTATAATCCGGAGAACCCTTTGATGTTTTAGTTATAGTTTATATTCGAATTCCCCCCTTATGTTGTATTAGAGTTTATGTATTAGTTATTGGTTTATTGGTTTAGTTTATTATTTTTATTGTTGTTTTATTTCTTTATTGTTGTCTCGCATTTCTTAGTGTATATAATAAACTCATCCCAGTAGTTAAAGTTTGATTGTTAAGTGATAACTCCGACCCAACTTAAGTGTTTCGTGACCTCATCCCACGTGTATAAGTGTTATAAATCCCGAACCTAGTTATCCATCGGAGCTAAATTGGATTAACATCTGCAATTGCTCTCCCAACCGATGGTAACAGTACGTATTTTCTTTACATTCGATCACGATCACGTGTAAAGGCAATTTATAACGTGATAGCAATGATAGAAAATTCCGTGAACCGGAGTTAAAATTTATTCTTAATATCATAATAAATGTCTTATGCCGGCATTTTAAATTCTGATACAGTAGGTTGTATCGATTATTTAAAACTTCACTATTCAATATTTTTATGCTTTATTCATGATAACTAAACGTTTAACGACAGATTATAATATCTAGTTTATTTAAAATTTACATAATAATTCTGTGTCTGCATTGAATTGTAATCGACTAGGTCAGAACTGATCAATCTTGCTCAAGGTCACTAAAAATTTATCTATCATCGCTATGTATATGAAAAAAAATTTAGCCAGTGCACGTTTATAAAATGTGATTATCTCTATCAAAACACATTTATTTGAAATATTACCAGTGACGTGAGTATATCAAAAAATATATAAAGTACTAATACAGAAAAGTTTTTATTTCATATAAATTTTAAATAATTGCATTCGATCCAAAATATGGGTGAATCAGTAGAGACGCGCTAAATTTTTCCAAGTAAATTTTAACTAATTAATTAATCAAATTTAATAAAAAAATTCTTAAAATCCTTGTAGAATTCATTAAAAAATTTTTAATAAATTGGTTAAGTTTTAGCTGAATTATTTTTATTTAAAGTAGTGATTGGGCCTGTCAAAAAAATGCCACCCGGATCACCCGCGGGTGGATCCATGAGCAACCCGAGTGGGTTAAAAAGCAACCCGTCGGGTGGGCTCATGAGTCACCCGGGTGAAAATAGATGTCCCGTTATTATGCATACCTGTATATACAAATATATTTCTAAGTAATAGTTATATCCTTGGTATATACTGTAGTTTATTTAAAATAGTAATCTTTTTTAGATCGGGTAGAAATTTACTAAGAATTCATTGTTTATTATACTTGATATGTAAAAAAATGTAAAAGTAATTCTTGAACATCCTTCATCAATGGTAAATTTTTGAATAAAAAAAGATGGTTTACCTCCGATCCATTGAGTGGGTGCTTGAGAACACCCTTAGTATAATATAAAATCCGTTTTTGAATTTTTTTTTTTTTTTTAAAAAGAAAAAAGCAATTAATATGCATACAAATGCATATTTGAATTGAAGTTTAGTAAAGTCTTGCGCAAAAGATCATCTCGCAACTGCAATTATTGTTCATGGGTCACCCGTCGGGCGGCCAAAACTCCACCCGGGTTACCCGTCCACCCGCGGGTGGCCGGGTGGCACCTGGTCCAATCACTAGTTTAAAGATCCAAAAAAAAATTTATTAAAAAAAGATTTGGTGCGTTTCCACTGCCTCGCCCATGTCAAGTTTTTGTGTTAGTGGATATTTTATTATCCAAAAAAACTTTCTGAAGCTAAACCAATAATTTATTCTCTTAGTTAGGTAAAATTTATGTCTTTATAGTTAAAAATAAAAGTGGCGATTTTTACTACTGTATATAAATTTTAGAAAAGTTTATGTTATGAAAATATTTCCTTATTGCAATTTAATACCCACAACCCTAGTCACTACCTATATACACTGGCAATCATAAGTAGTGCAACAAAAAAAAAATTTCACTTACATCATACTACCTCCCGCAATTCCGGGCATATCGGGTAGTTTTTTTTTTTATTTTATTCACTAATAGTGCCTTTTTCTAATTTTAGAATTTTAGGGGGCATCAATAATACCGATGC